GCGGCTCGAATATTGGGATCGTAGTAGTACGTAGCGGTGCTTATAGGGTCACATGATTTGGGGTTTGGAGTTGCGTGCGTGGTGTTTTCACGAACCTTTAAGGGGCCCCCTGTGGGGGTGCCCCTCTAGCTCGCAGAGTTTCGGTTCTCCTTGCGAGTAGGACTCTAACACCCTCCAAAACACATTCGAGCATCTTCAACGACTCTTAAGCACTTTAAAACGTTCCAAAACACTGTTGACCACTAGAAGACACTATGAAACTGTTCAAATCTCTCGCAAGATTCTGGTGGCTACCCGTTCGGATGGTATTCACGTTGTTTTTCAGCATCTTCGCATGCGGGTCTGATGGTGGGCAGTTTCAGGGCCCAGGTTCAGGGTTGGGAGTCGCTGGGGCAGGGGGGTAGGGGTGGGGCTTGCGGCTATCCCATGGAGCGTTGGGGGTGGGGAGCGTCCCGCGCCACAAGACTGCTGGCTGGGGTGGTGTGTGGGTCCCAGGTCCATGGATTTCGAGTCAAGGCCCCCCCCAAAAAAAAACAATGTGTTCTGTAGGGAAGACGGAGGGGCCCCTGTAGCTCGAAACTGCTGACATGGGATTTCGAGAGATCTTGTCTCCGGCCGAATTCCCCAACGAAAACAGCACCTACCCTCAGAGCTGGCAAACGGCCGGACCCCATTTCTCGACAACCTTTGAACCACTAAAACCCGACCCCCGCAATCCACCCTTTCAGGAAAGTCCGTTTTAGGCCGGGGCTTCTAAAGCGCCCATACAAGCTAGAGCTGCGTAAGGATGTTCCCTGACCCAGAAACAAGTATCCAGCAGGATCCTGAACCTTTTTCAGAAAGCCCTTCAGATTACGGAGTTACGGTGCCGCTCCTAGACTTTCCATGGTCCCAAGCATGCAGGCAATCGGGGAGTCTAGTATAGCAGTAGTAGCGCTGGTGCTTGTAACAACTTGAAAGGCGGGTTAAAGCTTCAGGCTATAAGCTTGTAAACCCCAAACTGCCTTGCTCTCAAGCCGAACCTGTTCAGCCCGTTCCTTCCTGCACGGTCTACAGCGCCTCATGGCTGGACTCACGGCTTATCTCTCGCTCTTCTTCCCCGGGGCATGAGGGGAGTGCGAAACCCCTCTCGCTCTCTCTCTCTCTATCTCTCTCTCCCGGGCATAGGGGTCGGTCAAGACCCCCGGGCTTCAAAGCCCACCCGCATGACTTTTGTGCGGGTCTCGGGGGGTGACCTCTTTCGGGCTAAAGCCTTAAAGTACGGCTTCTCTCTCTTCGCTTCGCTTCTCAGGGGAAAAGTCCACTAGGTGGACCCGCGCCAGGGCGCCCCCTTCCCCGACTCGGCGGTGGAAGAGGCTTGTGGGGTCTGCAGTGGCTCTGAAGGCCTGGCTATGGCAAGGAACGACAGCTTTCTCCACACAGTTGCTTTCCAACGTCAAGAAGCCTCATTCTCGGTGGTTGGTGAGTCTTATATAACCTATCATAAATCCCAAAAACCCGAGGGGCCCACCATTGGCCGGACAGCCGCCGTAAACCGGCCGGACGGAGCCGAATCCGACGACACGCAGGTCCGCACCCGTTGACGGATCATGTCAGCCCTCGGCAGCAAGGGTTTAAGGATACGTGCGGCTCCAGTAAGTGATGGTATGCCTGTTGGTGTGGTGGTTACTTCGAGCTAAGGATTCACATGCAGGGCATGACGGCAGCGGAGGAATATGAAACCGAGAGTTGGCAGCAACGGTGTCTAGAGCAACATACCTCTGCTCATGCATCAGGGGAAAAACTGTTTTGGAATTGCATGACGACGCAGCTAAAACAGCTGCAAGGGAAGGAGATCTGGGGCCCTGAGATTAAGCAGTCATCATCCGAATCCTGCCTTTGTAGTGGAGGTGCGGGGCTTGAATAAACGCGCGGATCCCCGGAAAGAAACGCCAAGGTGCTGAACACTATCATTTCTAAGCGAACATTCCAGCTAGCAAGAGGCATCCAAGCCACCCAAGAATGCCGGGAAGAAACATGCAGGTGCAGCATATAAACAATGCTCGAATCCAGTCGTTCTTCGCCAGCTGGAGGATGCTCCGATAAAACCGGCTCTGGTTAAGCAATTTCGAAAGAAGCACACGATCAGTCTCTAAATAGACGAATCCCAGGGCTGTCAGGATCACACAGAAGGCCAAGACAATCATGGATCTCATCAAGCTGATTCTCGAGGACACCACCATGGTGCTCGCCGTATACAAAGCAGCCATTCCAAGGGCCGTCATAAAGGTAAAACGCTTCAGCAGTGCAGCCATCATCTTTGCCGCCTTTATCTCAGCTTCTGTCAACCTCGGCAGATTGAAGCCGCTGTAGCCCAGATGCTGCCGGTCATTTCACGCTCTAGTCTACAAAATCGAAAACGTCATGTGTCATGACATTGAGGTTTGTGTGGCACGGGAAACGATCTATCAAAAATCAAACACCTAAATCATAATTACATCATCAGCGATGGTAAAACAACAATACCAACACACCATTTGTCGAGAATCACGACCTTATCAGTGTTAAGTGTCCGTGATGAACAACGCGTCATTGATGGATATACATGATGACTATGACCGGATCGATATGCTCGACATGCAACATGACATACTCAACCCGATTGTACTAGCCTCTGCATCTAACTACGTCTATATCCTCCCTACGATATAGTCTGTCGCCGGGAGGGGGTGAGCATTAATGGATGTATCTACTGTGTGTATTTATATACATATATACACATACATGAACATAAACACGTACAAAGGTATATACATGCAACATTCCTAGCTATGTAGGCTCGTATGTACCAATGTACATACATGCACACGAGCACGCATTGTTACATACATGACGTACATGCAACATCCATACATACGAGTACATACGTACATACATACATCAGAATGCATGCATGCATGCATGCATACATGTATACACACACACACATCTATATACACGCAGATGCAGACATGCATACATGCATCCAGACATACATACATGCATGCATGCAGGCCTGCTTGCTTGCCTGCCTGCCTGCTTGCCTGCCTGCATTTCTACATGCATGCGTTCAAACGTACGTACACACATACACACACACACACACACAGACACACGTACATACATACCTACCTACATACCCACATACATACATGCATAGACATCTGTAGCACTCAATATCGATGCATGCACGTATGTACATGATTACCTACCTACGGACGGACGGACGGATCGATGCACGAACCTGCAATGCTTGGAGCCACCTACATCTGGATTGATTCAGTACTTACGTGAGGGCTCAATGTCTTGAGACCGGGACATGGTGGTCTGGTTCTCGGACACCAGCGTTCTGGTAGAAGGATCTGTCCGCGCGAACACCATGCAGCACAAGGCCTCAGTATGCTGTGCTGATGACAGCACAATTCCTGGGTCCGTCTCTGCTGCTTCTGCTATTATTGCACAGTCGTCAGGACTCTCGCCTAGAGATTCTTCGGGTGGCTGAGGTGAGCGGGCAACAAAGACTGCTGGCCACAAGGCCAACCACGGACAAAAGAACCCACATCTGGCACGTCAAGCCACGGAAAGGGCATTCAATGCAGGCACGGCGTAAGGTGTAGTCCATTGCGCATACCACACACTATTGACCGTGGTGCAAGCTCGGTGAAAAACGTCCTGTTGATCCTTAGTTGTCCAGTTCCGAAGAAGCGCGCTTGAAGCTCAGCTATTGCAATTGGATTACTACTCGCTGAGACCCACAGGCAGCTACTGGTTGCTTTCTTAACGACCAAGGCTCTTGGTTCAGGCCGGGGGAGACAATCTCTGCGAAACACTGCGTCTGGTTAAACGCGATGTCGTCCAGATCTTTGGATACGTGTGCAAAGACTTCAGAGTACATGCTGGCCAGCCTGATCTGTGTCTCGATTGATGCGATCGTCCCAGTGGAGAACCGAAATGCAACACAAGCGACAGCAGTGAAACCTGTGCATATTCCGAAGCTCAGTGCTCCAGCTGTAAAGAAATGAGGCGCAGGGATTGCACCGAACAGCTTGCAGCGCAAGCATGCCAGCAGAAGGAACGTCAGCTCCAGACACACCATGAGCGGCATAACCGGTATCGTAAGCAAGTTCAGAGTGGAGACGCCCAGCAGCAGTATCACCGAAAGAAGACCAAAACAGGCCTGCACCGGTGTGGGTGCGGCAGGAATGTCGAGAACAAAGCACAGCACCACGGATAGTCCTGCTGGCGGTGTTTATCCAAAACAAGCCAACTCTTCAAAGCAGGGGACCTCAAATAGGCAACCTATAAACATCAGAAAATGTTGAGTAAGAATATGCCGAACTAAGATCCTGCCTTATGCACCCCAAACCCGCACAAATTATCCGATCTCGCGAAGCCCACTCATGTCTTCAAAGACAGGATGGTCCTGCAAAGATCAAGGACATGATCGCTGTCCTTGCTTCTTGTGTGCCCGCCAGCATGAGTTGACAATTTCCAGAAATATACTATGCGGAAAGAAGCCATAGCTTTCAGAGAGTCTACACGAAGCACTAAACACTGTAAAACATGTGAACCCAGGCCGTAGAACCCCTAAGCTGAAGTTTAGCGCTTCTCCGCCCCAAAACCAATTTAAAAGCCTCCGCCCTTCCAAACCAAGTAGACCCTAAACCTGAAGCTGAAGAAGAAAAGTGTCGAGTCGGTTATGTCTGTGGCGACCACATTCGCGAGATCAGGTCCAAGTCCAAATGTCGAGTAGCCACACAAAGCCTTAAGGCGGGTGTAGGGTTCAGTTTAAGGACTCGGGTTTTTCTGTGATCGGGGCAGGGAGCTAGTCTTGGGGATCTGAAGCAGGACCAGAACCTGAACCCAGGGTTGTATAACCTGACCCGCAATAACTACCACCTGGCCAAAGCACGAGGGCGTCCGGGATCGCCACTGCCAAAAGTGTAGAAATGACCAGGAGCTCGTAAGCCATTGGTGAAACATTCGAGATAATAAAAACTCTCTGGAATCCTTTAGATATCTGGAGAACGAGGATTTTACGGCTCTTAGACAACGTCCTTGGCTCTTAGTCCTTAGTGCCGACAGCATGTCCTGAACTTGTTTGGCCGTGGAAGTCCGGGCTTTGTTCAAACACATCACCTAAGTTACAATATATATATATATATCAAAAGATAATATGACATGTCATATTCAACTACGCTCATAAACCTATGTATCTATACACACATACATATGTATATTAACTACATATATCAGATTAGATTTTGCAGTATAGTTTTGCTTCAATAGGGTCCCCAAACACACGAACACACATTTGCGCACTTGTCAGCCTCCGCCATGAACCAGCGCCGGGTCGCAAGCAACGATGGGATCACCAAGCGGTTAAGGTGAAGTCTACGAAGTCATAAACAAAAGATTCTTGGAGAGCACCTTCCGCCCATGTAACGGCGGATTCCGACTCGCAAAACGGAAGGCTCAACAAAACCGTCTCTCACGGACCGCGGGCACATGATGAGCAGCCTTCAAAGTCGATGTGCACCACAGAAGTGCGCAAAAAGGCCATAACATGTGTTCTTCCACCGCCCCCCCCCCCCCCCCCCCCCCCCCCCCCGTAACCGCAAATTATGCTCAACGGTCATTGGCTCAGACAAAGCGACTCCAACCCCAAACTCTGAACATGTTAGAACCTGTTTGGCACGGAGCGACCTTTTGTGCACTGTGGCTGTCTTTGGGGTTAACCCGTATAAGCTACACCCAGGTTCACAAACTCTAAACTGCACAACGAACTTGTAGGGTCTGCTTTCTAAACATCCCGAGAGGCCTGCTTCGTTGAGCATCCTATGGCAACACCGAAAATTCCCAAGCGAGAACAACGTTCGGACTCCAGCCTGCAAATCCACGGCCCCGAGCCCTAGCAAACTCATGTGACTCCAATCCCGCATCAAGATTTGCCTTCAAACGTGCCTTCAAGAAACGGACCCGGGGGCCTTCGATCTGGCAAACTCTATGTTGCATGTCAAATGCAGCAGTCGCACCACTAATAAACATTGCAACACAAATCACGCGCAGTACTGGAACCAATTGGAGAGACAGGGATTCGGCAAGATAGCACACACTATGCCTTGGAAACATTGGGGTCTTGGCAGACATAAGTAGGTTGTCAGAGCTTGTCGAGCTGAGCTGGTAACTGGGGGGGCGTTCGACAATCGACAGGTTGATGACCATGAATCAGAAAGAATACATTTTCGCACCGTATGTTGGAGCATGTTGCCGTTATATTAACATGGGTCCCCAATACGCACAACCCGACCCTCGTGTGCAACGACCGCCATGTCGAGGCCGCGGCGGCTCTTTCCTCAAATGAACCGAGACCTGCGCACAGGGTTCGAGTACGGGACGTCATGACATCGGTTTTCCTCGCAATCAGTTCAAACGAAACAGAGCGCGGTTCTAGTTGCAGCGCTCCGAGTGGAGTCCCTCAAGAGCCCTTGTCGACAAACCCTTCCCTGGTTGGCATCCACCGGATGGTGGCTATCCGTCACATGATCCAGGACTGGCTTGCGGCGCCAAGCCGCTAATCAAACTCACGTTGAGGTCCCTTTATGGTAGCTGATATTCAGCTATTCGATGCGAGCATGCCGATGCTTCGGACTTGTGGGGGCTCCAATAAATTCCAAGTCTCATTGCGCTTGGTTACTCACGGATCCGAGCAATCTCAGCGAGAGCCCCGGGGGACAGAAGAGGCTATGTCTTTCTTGTTCGTGGAAGCTGTGTTTCTCGCTTCATTGCTATTGGTCGTACATTCTTCTGTTGTTGTTGTCGTTGTTGTAGATTTTTCGTTCAATGACTGGTCGCCTGTTTCTACATTCTCGATGTTGCCAATGACCGTTTCGTGGATCTGCCTCGTAAATCTGTCTGTTGTATGAACAGATACATACACACATACATACATACCTTACATACAACCATACATAGATACATACATAGTATAATAGTCTTGGCTGGAGCCTGAAAACACACCGGAGTCGATTCGTGAAGCCACGAAAGACCCGAAAACAGCAAGAGGTCCTAAACACAACACCCCTCGATCTGTTGGCTCAGCTCGGTTTTGACCCTACCAAGAGGCCTGCTCTCGGGTCCAACCCAGCCGTTTGTTGCACCAGTTTGCACCAGCTTCCAGGCCTGGACGCGATTTTGCTAGCAGGTTTCATGTTTGGACCACTTGACAATCTTTGGGAAGTCTTATAACGCTCCCTGCTGCTTGTTTCGTCAAGGGCTTGCAAACTTGCAAAGCTGAACAAGCTTTGCAGGGTTCGGATATCCGACTTTCACCGGCTGCGCTCGAAGTTCTTCAACATGTTACTTGTACCGCCCGAAGCATCCCCTCGAAGTTTGGAGCTGCCAAAGCAGCCTTTTGCATTGGATCATTATCTTCGGCTTGGACCCTACTAGCATATACCCTTGTTAAATAGCGCAGAACACCTGAATACAAAACGGACAACCACGACATCTAACCTGCGGCCCTCGCGTTCGCTTCCCAGCTGAAGCAGCTCGATCCACGGAAAAGGCTCCACTGGATACGGAACTGCCTGGGCTCGCTTAAGGGATGAATTCGGCCAATAGGCTTGAGCACCGGAACTTCACGGGAATTCGGTCTCCAGACTCTATCCTCATATTCAGAACCCGCTCTGTAATTGCAAAATCTAGTTCCTAGATCGTTCTTAGAACCCCCGAGCGGCCGAAACCAACAAACAAAAATCACACTGTTCGACGTGATCATAGAGTAGCCTTCTTCTACTGCTCGGTATGACTCCACAATGATTTGTGTCCTGCTGGCAATGGACGCCTCCTATGGCAAAGGCCCGAGCAGTTTGCAGCTGATCCCGTGCGAACACATGCACCAACATTCTTGTCCAACCGGAACAAGTGCAGTACCACATGACGACTCAATATACCTGCCAGGTGGGAAGACAACAGGACTGGCCATGTGCTGAGTAATCAAAGGATTAGCTAAGTCTTAGTGGCTCCTCATTATCAAAGCTCGGAACTACACGGCAGTCATTTGAAGCGTCCCCAAAGAAGCATACTGAACTGCGGGATCCTCAAAGAAAAGCTTCGAGCAGGCGAGGGCCCTAATCTTCAACACGGCCTTTTGGTCATTCCTCCTCCCCGAGGCTCGTGCCCGAGCATCTGCCACGATGTTCCTCAGGACCAAGGCTTTGTTTGGGCTGCGACATTTCAGGCGCCAGATCAATTTGGAATTCAGGCTGCGACGCCTTCCAGGTGTATGCATATATATATATATATATGTATATACATATATACACATACATATACGTATATACATGTGTACAAAGATAAGTTATACACGCACCGACAGAAGCGTCGAGTCACGCACGCATCTGTGCAGGAGCTTTTGTTGTTTGCTGTTGTCAGTCTGTGTCAGTGTGCAGGTGTGTCTGTGTGCGTGTGTGTGTGTGTGCGCGAGTCTGTGTGCAGTTGGCTGTATTGATTGGCACAGCACAAAACAAAATCGATTGAGCTCGCCACTTGGTGTAATCACTCAAGCTACTTGGCACAGTGACCCACACTCTCGCGACTCCATCTGATTTGGATTTATGTCGGACGCTTCCGGTACTGCTTTTCAAGGGTAGAGCCCTGCGGCTGCAACAACCTATATGGTCCCGATAGAGTCCCACAAGCCGGGCCGAGCAGACCTACATACATGATCATAAGCCTCTATATAACAACTACTAGTCGCTTCCCCGACACACCCAAATTCATGCACGAATGCACAGAGACGCCAAAGCCAAACTAACCACAGAACCGCGTAACATGCGTACTTCGACGAATGGAGGCCCTGATTCCTCGGTCGAGAATACCCAATGAAGTCTGCGCCCGAACCTTGAACACACCCTGCATAACACACCCTTTACCCTAAACTTATCAGAACCCGCAACATACCCCTGCGGTATCGAAAACTGAAGAGCCCCCGGCCTGACTGCTTCATCGTCCAGCCCGTGATCCTCCAACCAGGCCTTGAATTCAATGGGAACCTATAACTACGTAATGGGTCTAAGAGAGGGGTGTTAGTGCTTCGGATGTCTTAGGCTCTGTTAGGGCATTGTTGCTGCTTTTCGGTAAGCCAGGTAAATTTTTGAAATGCGCAAAGTTCGTTGAAGGGGATCCAGTTTAAGGGCTCTGTATTTAGGCGAGAACTCCTCACAAACTACCTGCCGACCCAATCGAACCCTTTCGTGGCATGAGTTGAATCTTCGGGGTCACATATTTGTCGCCACCTTGCGCAATCAAGGTAATCTGTAGTTGTTGTTCCATCCCTTCTCTCTGCAGCGCCAAAACCCGCAAACTCTAACAATTCCCACAGCCTGAGCTAAGCCTGCTGCAATCGTCCGTTCCAGCCCTTCCTCCTGGCAAAGAGTTTCAGAGCGGTAGGTTGCAGAGGCTGCTGAATGCAAGTCAAGTGCGCTGGCAGAATCGTTCCATCTACGGTTTGCCTGCACATCAAATGGTCACTGCCAAAACGACGACGATGATAATCACGGCGATGATGATGCGGGCGCTGATGATGCAAGTGCTCCGAACAACTATATGACTACGATGAGATGATTCTTAACAGTGCTGGTTGCGGTTTTGGGTCATCTTTCACTACTGCCACCACCCTCATCATCATCGTCGTCGTCATCATCATCACCATCCATTATCCTCGTCGTCATCATCATCAAAATCATCAGATACGTCACCAGTAATTAGCAAGAGCTGCTTGCATGCTACGCTCTTGGAATTTAAGGGAGCTGCCTGCTCGCGCCCTGTTTGCTTCGTTGAGGGGGGAAGGGGGGCAGTGTCGTTCCATCGGTGTTCTGTCGGACCTGCCAATAGGACCATGTCGAAGGTGCTTGAGGCAAGCATGTAAGTGAAAGCAGGCGGCGAGCTTATCGGGTCAGGTGCTCAGCC